AGAAGATAGCAACTAATACTCCAATGATACAATTGACTGAAGAAAACACTACTTTCCAAGAGCAATGAAAGACTGAGATACATTTTTTTCTACCCATTAACTGCTTATAGCAATAGCAATAGCACTTAGACTTACAGTATATACCGCTTCACAGTGCTCTCTAAGCCCTCTCTAAGCGATTTACAGAATCAGCATATTGCCCCCAACAATCTAGGTCCTCATTTTACCAACCTCAGAAGGATGGAAGGCTGAGTCACCCTTGAACCTGGTGAGATTCAATCTGCCAAACTGCTGGCAGCCGGTGATCAGCAGAAGTAGCCTGCAGTACTGCACTCTAACCACTGCGCCACCATGGCTGTTATCTATTGAAGGACCAAAATGCCCCACCGTTTTAGGCCAAAAGCAACAGTTGGCCTCTGCATGGCAAATTAGGAATCATCAACAAAAAGAAATATAATATAATATTATTATATAGGCTAGAATATAAAACAGAACCGAGATGTAATTTGCTTTAATTTAATTAGATATGGATAATGTTACTTTCAAGGAGGCATGATGGCTCAGCGGTTAAAGAAGCTGAGCTTGTCAGCTGGAATGCTGACAGCCCAGGTTCCATGCAACGGGGTGAGCTCCTGTTACTTCCCCCAGCTCCTGCCTACCTAGCAGTTCTAAAGCATGCAAATAGATTAATAGGTACCACTTCGGTGGCAAGGTAACAACGTTCTGTGCGCCTTTGGCATATAGCCATGTTGGCCATGGAAATTGTCTTTGGACAACACTGGTTCCCTCAGCCAAGAAATTGAGATGAGCACCAAGACCTAGAGCAAGTTACACCAGGGAAATCTTTACCTTTATCCTTAATATTACTTTCCATGTGATTTATAATTCTTTGAGGAGACTGCTGAAGGCTACTTCAAATATAGGCTGCTGTTCCATTTCTAAACTCAATTCAAGGTGCTAATACCTTTAAACCCTATATTAATTGGGGGCTACATAGCCTCCAACTCCCTATTTTGGAATTTTGAGATAAGCACATGAATTATTTGAGAGGAAGATCAGCATAAAAATAACTAATAATTAATAGTACCTCTGCCTCCAGCTACATTTTTTTTTCAGAGAATCACATGGTCACTTAGATAATCTAATCTTCTGTAAATTTCTTATGATTTTATGTAGTTTTATCATCATGGTAAAAACATGTATGTGGGGATTAAACAACGAACGAGAGAGAAAGAGTTTTCAAAAGCACCAATTCGGAAATACGACAAACACCAACTGAAATTGTTGTAGATGGTAAAACTAATAACTGCACAACTGCATAATATCAACTCTACTCTAAAAGAGCAATTTTAGTTTAATAGCTCTTATAATTAAAGCTGGATAGTACTCTTTCATGCATTATGGACAAGCTTAACATGACAGTCATCTACATTGGTCAAAGAATTGATTGAAAGACTTCACTAATGTCACAGAACATATTCAGGAATGTACAAACTATTTTTTTTTCTTACACGGAATTTTAGATCTGGAGTTTAAATCATTAAAATGTGAGACAGTTTCTGAACACAACTCATAACTTACTTAAGTATGCTTTTACAGCCATGTATTTACAAAGTTTTTGCACACTGAGTCATACTGAATGTCATAACTTTACCAGCTTTAGTAAAAGAAAATGTAAACTATGATAAAATGGGACAGGACTGTGCCCGTCTGATTTATTTCTATCCATTCCTCTTTGGTAAATAATTTTATCAGTTTTTCCTTTCTAGGGAATTTCCCCCCTGCTGTGTAGTTTCCCATTAACCTATAAACAGATCATAGAGAAAAAGACAGGATTAATGACCTGTGAAATAGGTTCAGTACAGTGGGTACTGGCTAATCTTTGCTCACTTAGCCCAAAGATTTGAGATATAAAGCCCACTTAAATCCTGGCCAAGTTTTGAACGTGATGAACCAAAGTGGACTCACAATATATTTTCTGGAGCTATATATAAAATGGTTACAGATGCAAACAATTTGCCAAAGAACAAATCCTGAAATTACTGCTAAAGATTTTTTCATGTTATTTTAGTGTAAGAATGATTACTGATTTCAATAAGTAATAAAGTCACTTGACCTCATACTATAAAAAAGTTAAACATCTAAGCATCATAGCAAGCCCACAGGCAGCAGTTAATATATTAAAAGCAACAGTAAGTTTGTTTCCACAACAAATTGGATTCACAGTAATTGTAGGCAGCCTTGGGGGTAAGGATTGTCTAACCTAGTGATTTTTAAACCTGTTACTTTCAAATAGATTAGCTTCAGTTTCTCTGAGGAGAGATCCTTCCATATTGGAACACATGTGTTCCAACCCATGTTCCATCGTTTGTACTCAATACAGAAAATGTTGATCAGATTGGTTGGATTTTGCTGCCTCCATTATCCACTCAGGGGAATTCAGTTTAATGGCTGAATTATCTTCATGGAAATGAAGGAATCCTTGATAAATTACAAAACTCATGGGTTCCTTAGAATACATTTTGAAACCAACAGTAACTTACTGTTTTGGCCTGTTTTAACAGCAAAGGAAAAGTGACATTAATTCGTAAGTGTATTCTTCAGCATATTATGAGTTGCTTTCCATTTCATATCAAATGTTCAGCAGAATTAGGCACAAACTAACTAGCTGCTGAACAGTTTACTTATAATTTTACATTTTACATTTATCTTTACCTTATATTTGTAGTTCATTTATATTTTGTTTTGTTGACATGTACTATAAGAATCAGTGAAAAAGTATTGAGATGGATGTTGCCTCAAATACACATTTAAAAGGAATATGGAAACATTTATTGTAGTCTTATGACAGAATATTTATTTTCTAGGTCATAAAAGCTGCACAAAAATGTCACATTTGAGATGTTGCTCAGGGCAAAATTTACTGTAACCAGAAACAGCTATTTTCTTGTTTGATTATATTTTTGAATTTTTCTTTGGCCTTGGAATCAAATCTCACTGGACCACAGTTTTGACACATCTGGTAGGTAGCAGGTTGTATACTATGGTCTAGGGCAGGGCTGTCAAACTCGCAGCCCACAGGCCGGATGCCTCACATGCTGGCCACGCCCATGCCCAGTTTAGCGAAGAAGAAAAATGTCACAATACATCACATGATGATTCTGTGACGACACGAGTTTGACACCCCTGGTCTTGTGTATGGCATAACACCCCCCAACATACCCTAATGCCCTGATAGCGAACCTATGGCATGCGTGCCAGAGGTGACACACAGAGCCCCCTCTGCTGGCACACACGTCATTGCCCCAGGTCAGATCTCCGTGATGTTTCTTTTGTGAGCTTCTGTTTCCCTGCAAATGACAAAACAGAAACTCACGAAAGAAAATGATCTTACTTCTTGCCGCACTGCCATTGTTGGGATGCCCTGCCTCCCGCCGACCAGCTAGTCTTCAGGTCTCTGCTGCGCATGCGTGCATGTCCGTGTATATATGTGTGCATGTCCACACATGCACACAATCACACATGTCCATGCATGCGCATGTTTGTGATGTCCACACATGCACATGCGCATGTCTGCATGCATGCACGCACCTTTCAGTTGAACATGAGTGCGTGCAGTTTGGGTACTCGGTGTCTAAAAGGTTCACCATCACTGCCCTAATGCATACAAACTGTATTTGCTCTATTCACTTGAGAAGTTGAAAGATTTTCAGCTGGGTCTTCAGCACATCTCTCTCCTTATATGTAAGAAAACATGTAAAGAAGGACCCTTCCCACCTCCAGCTTCTAACACAAATTATCCTTCTAGTTATAATTTCCATTTTTTTCCTCTGAATTTTTAATTTGTTCTTATAAATGTTTTTTTTTAATTTCCTCTCAATCATAATAAGTGGGAAGAAAAAAAATAACTAAACTTCAAACATTTATTTTTCTCATTGTAGACCAACATTTCCCAGAGCATGGCAAGTTGGAATTAGATAACTAGCAAAAAGAAACAAATGTCAAATACATAAACTTTTCCATCAAATAAAAACAGTTGTAGTCAGGTGTTCCATATTGGCTATAAAAACAAAAAACACATACCAAAAGAATCCTGAGACACTTTATTCTCCTCCAGCTGTTTATAAGAAACTTTTTTACACATAACTTCAAATGTGGGAAGCATAGAATACATTATATACATGCATACATACATACATACATATATAACAAGTAACATTTTCATAAATTGCAATGACTAAATAAAAGTCTGACAATTTAAAAAACTATAATATGGAAATACACAATGAGCTGCATAATATACTAATTTGGGGAACATGGAAGCAAGTATGCCAGAGGTCCTTTCCTACTTAGAATTTAAAAAAAAAAACGTAATGTTTTCATAAAATCCACCTTTCACAGGCCAATGCAAACTTCTATTGTTAAGTATATTATCTGATGTTTTACAAACTCTACTTTGTCAAATACATATTTTTGATGCAACATAAAATACATAATGCAAGATACAAGATACAAAAGATGAAGATCGCTAAGTAGGAGAATTAGGGGAAAAACATAATTTTTCAGAGTACTGAAATATAATTGCAATTAGCAGAGTGATACTGAAAAACAGCCAAAGCAGAATCAGAAGCACCAGGCTGATGTTACAATGACCTGCCATTGAGCCATGTTTTAAAAACTGAGGGAGAAGGGTAGTAAAATAGGAAAAAAACTTGGAATTTTTCAACGCAACATGTGAAACAGAACTTGCATTTCTCTAGGAAAATTAAATGAGGTTGGAATGAAATGCCACTTTTAAACTACACTGTTAGGACCAGGAAAGAAAAAGGGCTCTTTAAACAGAGTTCTATCACAGTGTCAGCCTGCCAAAGCACCCTTTTTGAGCCTCATAAAATGCAACCATGGAACATTATCTCTAAGTATGACTCTATGAAATGCTTAGAGCAGAGGAAGCCAAGCATGGCAAAGCACGGAATTTAAATAAAGCACTTGCTACTTACCCTGTAGTTTGCACCATGATCAGCTCACTCTCCTTAATAATTCCAATGCATTGTCTAAAAAAAATGGGAACTAAATCCTGAGGGGGAAGCAAGCAGAAAGTTCCAGAAATCCACAGATCTACAAGACTCTCAAGTTTAAACCCCTGCCCAAGATGCTGGGTAGTCTGTGTGTCTATCTTTAACTTGTAACTGATTTGGTTTCACATTCCATTGAAGTCCTGCTGGCAAATGCAATTGCACAGTTTACCAATCACAAACAGTCAGATCCACTCCCTTTCGCCTCCTCTCTCCCTCCCACCCCCGTTACTCCACCCTCCCGATTCCTCTCTTTTGGAGAGCCCATGCAGCTCCCTCGTCTCCGTGCTTTAACCTATCTTTGCAACATGAAAGGAAAGAGTTTACTAATCTTTGCTGTCCACACATAAATAGATACCATTGTGGTTTTGCAGCCAAGAATGAACTATCTTCCAAACGTGGCTGTCCAGGAAAGGCATGTTCTGCTAGTAACATTCCTGAGAGCCTGCAGCAACAGAGTACAGGAACGATCTTGCCTTTCACTGTGTGCCTAATTCTATAGGTTTACCTCATAGAGCGTACATCACTTCTTAACTCCTGAATGAGAAGTTTTAACATCCACTGAATTCAGGATTAATAAGCCCTAAAATAATATTTACGCATGGATCCTCAGCTGCTCAGGAAGAAGGGGTTAATATGTAAATAAATCTATTGGAGGTGAATAAAGCAACATTGACGAAAAGGTATGTAGGAATGCAGCCTGACATAAAGTATAGATCTGTTGCTGTTCCTGATGGAGGTTTCTTGAGATTATCCAACTTTGTGGGGTTGTTGTTGGGCTCAATTTTTTTTTATTATTTTTATTGAAAAAGTTTTTCAAATACAAATTTCCCCCCCCCCCTTTTTTTTTCCCCCTCCTCCCTAACCCCCCCTCGGGCTCAATTTTTAATTGCAGACATAAAGAACAGTGCATTTTTTATTCTTGGCTGGGTTGTGTTTTTGTAGTTCCACTCGGTGTTGGTATTGAAATTGTCTGATTGTCTACTCCCAAGGTAAAGCTCAACTTTTGATAACTCTATGGACAGCTCCCTTTATTTTTCTTCTGCTTCTTCTTTTCCAGACAGCAGTTATGGAAACAGGATTGCCATTGTTTTCTTTTGAGATTTTGCCTGGGGTTTCCTATAGTTTTTCATCTAATATTAGAACAGTTCGATTCAGCTTAGCTTTTTGAGGTCAAAGCTGGCTAGGTATGTTCATATTAAATTAATGAATTGTCACCTGTGATTTTGTAATGGGAAGTCAATACAACATAACCCTCAGAAGAAGCAATCCCTCTGAGTAGAAGTGTGGGTGTGAGAGAATGCATGCAAAGAAAGGAAAATAGCTATCCTAAGATGGCATCTGCAATTTTTAAATAATTATTTAGTTAAAAATAGGAGAATACTAGGTTGATTGATCCAAAACCCTGAATGAATTATATTCCAGTTCAGTCACTTTATGTTACAATATATTCCTACAAAAGCAATCCTGTGAGATAAGTTAAACCAAGATGGAAGGATTTATGCCAAATCACCTGTTGAGCTTCCTGCCCTGAGACTGGGGTTGACTGGAGCTGAATTTCTATCATTCAGTATCTTAATTACAAACTATTTAAATTGGTCCTTTATTAAAGTATTTAAGTTTTCCTTCTAAAAGCAATCTAGGTCATTTACAAAAGGTCATAATTCACTTTTGGGAATCCAACTCAGCTGCAAAAGCTTAAACATTACAGTTATTTACTCTTATGTGTACATATTTTGTTGGCACAGAGACATAAGAAAAGGATTGCCAGCTGACTTCCAGGAAAAAGATAGATAAAATGTGATATTCCTGCCAGATCTATTATTAATGGTCCCTGCCGACTTGCCTTGTATTAAAGCAATGATTGGCTGAAATCCTGTACACATTTTCCTAGGAGTAATTCCTACAAAATTCAATAAGGCTAGCTTCTGAATAGTTTATGAAGCATGAGTCCAGAACATTGGATTTCCCGATATTGCTGAATTAAAATTTCCAACATCCTTTCTATTGGCTAAGGAGCTACTTGCATTGATCTAATTTTTCCTAAGCAACTGGAAATCTGTTTTGGACAGAATAACGGAGTTGGAAAAAACTTGGAGGTCTTCCAGTCTAACTCCCTGTTCAGACAGAAAACCCTATACCATTTCAGACAAAAGGTTTCCAATATTTTCTTAAAAGCTTCCAGTGTTCCAGAACTTCTGGAGGCTAATCATTCCACTGATTAATTGTTCTAAGTATCAGGAAATTTCTCCTTAGTACTAGGATGCTTCTCTCTTTGATTAGTTTTCGGCCACTGCTTCTTGTAATGCCTTTAGGTACTTTGGAGAATAATTGACCCCCTCTTCTTTGTGGCAGCCTTTAGTTATTGGAACCCTGCTCTCATGTCACCCCTAGTTATTTTAATTCCTGCGACTTCTTCATATGTTTTAGCCTTCAGATCCCTAATCATCTTTGTTGCTCTTCTTTGTACTCTTTCTAGAATCTCAACTTTTTTACATCATGACGACCAAAACTGAATGCATTGTGGTCTTACCAAAGCATTATAAAATGGTATTAACACTTCACATGATCTTGATTTTATCCCTCTGTTAATGCAGCCTACATCAGCCCTTCTCCAATCATCTGGTAGTTCCCTGGTGCTCCAGGATTTTGAAAGATATGGTTCAGTAGTTTTGAAATCACGTCTGACAGTTCCTTCAGAACCTTGGGGTATAACCCACCTAGACCTGGTGATTTGATGTTAACCCAGTTAAAGTAGTTGTCTCTGCCTTTTCATATTGCTGGAGACTTACACAGAGTCCAACTATGATTCAAGGAGCATTTTTCATTTTTATATCCCTGTTTCATATTTCTCATTCAGCTATATTTGAGACTATCCACTTGATAACTTTTTAGGGCACTTGATAAGAGTCACAGGTCGCTAGTTGTCACTTGGTAACTCCAGTCCAAAGTCCAACTCTGCAAATATATATTGCATTAGAACATGTTAGAATCACAACAGTTATGAGGCTGGTATAACTCTCTAATTGGTATAATAAATATCCATCCACCAAGTTTTAATTCATTAAGATCAAATGCCTGCTCAAATATGGATTTTCTTAATGAACATTTTTAAGTAAGTCGGGAAACAAGAATCAAGACAGAAAGTAAATCATATGAATGAAGGCAAATACATGTGTCCTAAGATTATGTTGCAGGATCCAATCTGGATTAGTCACCTGGACCAGAGGTTTTGTCTTCCAAGCTTTTGGATTCGTGCTGGAGTCCATCTTGAGGGAACTTCTCTCTAGCAGACTGTGTGCTGCTCTGTGTATGGCACTATAAATACCACGCACAGAACAGCACACACTCTGCTAGAGAGAAGTTCTATGAAGATAGGTTCTAGCATGAGTCCAAAAGCTCGGAAGACAAAACCTCTGGTCTCAGTGATTGATCCAGATTGGATCCTGCTAAATCATATGAATTATTAAGCTCTTGGAGCTGAAACTTGAAAAGTATAAATTCACCATCGAAGGAATTTCAATAGAAGGGTAATATGGCAGCACATTTTATTTTTATTGTGATCAAACCTTGCAACATTTGCCATTTAGTTGCTAAACTTAAAAACTGTTTTATTATTAATATTTACAATTGAACTAAACTCAACATGTTGAACATATGACAGAGGGTTAACTACCTTCATGCTAGATTCTCCAACGTACACACAATACTTACTACTAACAAGAAAAATATTCAATATATCGCTACTCAATTCGTAATGGAGAGGGCCTTAGGCTTCTTAAGTACCTAATAAATGCCACCAATTTGTTGCTAATTCTATTTTTTCACAGAGAATGGTATTTGCGAAGCAGAGCTCTTCTGGCAAGAGCTGTTTTTTCCACACTAAGCCTGAGGAGAAACTATTTTAACAATTTAAAGCTTTATATACAGTATTGGTAGAGAAGGAAATGATTCTTTTCTGAGCTAGTAACTTCTTTCCATGTCACTTCTCATTTCTGCAGAGTATATAAAACTTGCTCTCTTCCGTAAGTGACTATGTGAGAGAAGGTTAATAACAACAGCAAGACACAACTCCACTGGTAGTTCATTTGGAGTCTCATACATACAAAACATGTAATTTAGAGACTGCCACAGTTTATTTGTGCTCCATTCCCTGGAACGACTTATAAGGATAAATTAAAGGCCTTGATTAGAAAGTCAATCCTTTCTTTTTTCTATATTTCTGTTTCCATTTTTTTCCTTCACAAATAAAATGGGATCTTTCTTTATATTGCTATTACTAATGTCAACAATTATTTCTGGATACCATCCACAGTTGCTTACATTAATTCCTGCCTGAATAACCGAATTTAAAAATGATATTCCTTTGAATTATAATTTAAAAGCAAAAAAAAATGGCATTTTTCAAGAATAAATGCTATGTGCTATATAAGGAATATATTGGGGCATTTATTTCTCAGTGTATTGCTTGCTTTTCTAGTTTTTCCTAATTGCAACTCATTATAGGCCGTTAATTAATTAAAACCAGGAACTCTTAAATACAAGAGGAAACAAAGCAACACAGAAGGGGCTTATCTGAGCATCATTGTTGAAACTGCTGGATGAAAGACTGCTTGGAAATCACATGGAAGCTAGTAGGGCCTACTTGAAAGCTAGGAATTCCTCACCCCGCCAAAACAAACAAACAAAAGAATTATAATATTTCTTTCCAGTAAGAACAAAACAGTAACAGAAAACTCCTGTCTCTACCCTGATACAAGTTAAATCCTTTGTCATTCAATGCAAATTCACATAATGATGACCTATCACCATAGAATGAGAAAATAAATGCTAAAGCTTCTGCAAGAAGCAACATCAAAAAGCTATGCACTATGATGGAAGAGCATCAGAAAATCTCAGGACTGTATACTAGATTGGGAAGTTGAAAAAAAATGTCAAAAAAGGACAGTTGCCAAGAAAGCTTTGTGGACATGACCTTATATCACCAAGAGCCAAGCTCAATTTGGTGGGGAAAAAGAAAATGTTAAAATATCACGTTTAAATCATCCAAAAGAGTCACCTTGATGTGAGAGGTGTGGCAAATAAATCGAATGAATGAATGAATGAATGAATGAATGAATGAATGAATAAATAAATAAAAGTCCCCAAGACTAGCAAACAGCATTAGGTTT